TCAAATTTTTTCTTTTGTCAATAACTTCTATTTGATCTTGAATTTAATTGCTGTGAGGCCCCCTTTTTGATCTTAGATTCAAGGTCCTTATATAAGGATTGAATTCTTTTTTATTTGGAAGAAATTAATTCAACCGAATCTAGAATTTCTCTCTAAATTTTATTCTCTATGCAATCTTCTATTTTTCAATAGATTGAGCCCAAATTCTTTTCAAAATTATTCAACCATTAAAGTTGAAATCTGAGATAGAATCCAAAAGTTGAATTGAATCCAAGATTTTTCATGCAAAATCCCACATTTCTCTTTTTTATTTTTTACTCTTTTTTTTTTTTTTTTACCAATTGACTTTGATTCTTTTAACTAAAATAACAAAAATTAAACTAAAAAATTACAACACAAATAAAATTTAGGGCTTAATTTTTAGGTCCAAAATTCACTTTTCGATTAAACCCAATTGCACAATCCAAAATAAAAAATCGAAGCCTAAAGAATTTCAAAAAAATCTCTAAACAAAATAGGGTGTTTACAAGCATAGATGGGAAGACATCTTTTCATCTTCCTATTTTAGATTTTCCCACTCAAGCTACCTCTTTCCTCATTTAATGCCATCAAATGGCCAAACCAGATGGCCCTCCAGGTCAAACTGACTAGACCAAATGGTTCCCCGAGACAAGCCCGACAGATTCCCCACCTGAACCAACTTAACAAACCAACGCTTGATTCACCGCTAGAGTTCAAAACGGAGACTCGAATCCAAACTCCTAAAATAAAACGCAAAGTCCCACGTTGATTAGACGAACTCCCATCCTAATCTCGGATCATTTCGAACAATTGACATCTTGGCAACCCTTAAGCCGACCATGCACTCAACCCAAGGGATGTGAGTGAGATCGAACCTCCACCAAGTTGAACCACGACATAAGGCTAATTCTCTCTTTATGCCGACCTACACGATGACGTCGGTTGTAAGGAATCAAATTTCATGTTGCATTCTTTCACTTATCTGGCAAGAAATGTGTCAACCGCATGCCTAGCAATCTAATATTCGACTACTTGATGGGAGAATAGAATGTTGAGGGTATTTGATGATAAAAAAAGTATAGAAGTTTTTTTTTTCTCATTAAAAGCCTTCAACAGATAGTTAGAGGTAATTCGATATTTGTGTTAACCTGACACACTCAATGCCAAGTCAGCTTGAACATGTCGTTATTGTCCCTCGATGGCCCCTTATCTCTTATCTGTAAATACAAACGTCTAGGCATCACTAAGGCAAGTTGAATCTAATCTCAATTTCTCACGCTACTCTCTTTTTGACCTCACTTATTCTGACTTATGCGTCAGAGTACAAACATAAAGAACATTCCCTGCCTTTACCTCTAACCATTTTTCTCTTCCATTTTTTTCAAGAACGTCCTTAGATCGGAGTTCCACACAAACAAAAATAAAAATTTCATTGGGATTAAAGTCATTTCCCTTTTCAAATGTTAAAAAAATAGACTACTCAAAAATTTTTTTTCAGTTATTAGATTGTGGTTGCCTAGTTAGGTTTGCTGAGCGTGCTCATTACTGTATCACATACATCCGAGTTCACAAAAACAATTCAGAATTTCACTTTTTGATTTAATTTTTTTAATATTTGAGTCTAAATGAAATTAAAAATTTATTATTTTGTAAAACTCAATAAATTTGATTTTTTTTATCATTGGTTCAAATATTGTATGTTTCATATGATTTAAAAAATAATTTAAAAATATTACTAATAATTTAGCTTTTAAAATAAATAAATAGATATTTATATGCAATGAACAAAGAGTCAGAGTTTTTTTTTTTAATTTTAAACAATTTTTAAGATAATAATTCAAATCTCTATAACTAATCTCAATATTTATCTTTGACCACAAAAACAAATCTCTAATTTATCTCTTTATATTAAATTTGTTGTTTTCCTTTTTCATTAAGCACAATCTACATGGTATTAGTATCGTTTTGATCTACAAGATAAACAATCTATTTTATTGATTTGAAATTAGAATCTTACAAATTGAGAATGGATTGTATTAAATAGTTACATCTTATTTGTATATCTTTTTTATTTAAATTATATTACATAATTATATTGTTAAAAATAATTATTTATTAAAATAAATATTCATTATTTATTTATTAAATATGATGTGTAATAATTAATTAATTTTTCTAATAACATAATTATAAAACATGATTTGAATAAAATGATGTATAAAATTTAAATTCATCATGATTTGTGAGACAACCACTTGTTAAGTTTGATTTGAGAGGCAATCACTTGTTAAAGTTCGAAGTTGTGATGAATTTAAAAGGTGCTGGTTTTAATTGCTCCAATTTTAGTTGTTATCCATAGATATTTTCTTGTTGTTTATTAAATTTAGGGTTAATGCTATGAATAATTTTTGAACTATAATAAAATGTTAAATGTAAGATCTTAATATTAAAAATTTTTAATGTAATATGTGAATTATGAATATATTAATTAATGTGATATTTATTTCTAATATAATTATTTCAAATAATAATACATAACACATAAATAACTTTTTAAATATTACATTATTTAATAAATTTATAATTTAAATATTATATTAAATATTTTAATATCATATTAAATATTTTAATAAATTTAATGACCATTCGTTACATTAATCTTTAAATTTATTCAATTTTTTATATTTCATATTTTAATCTAGTGACAAAAAAACCTTAAAAAAAATAAAAATTTAGGCTCAAACCAACCAATCCCCCCCCCCCCCCCATAAAAGGACTTTGCACTCTTATGAAAAAATATATATATATATATATATATATATTCAAAATTTCTTGCGATTCCTGACGCATCTTTACTATCTCAATTAATGGTTAGAAAAACTTGTAGTTAAATTTCATTTAACGGTTAGATGCTCAACCAAATGTCACAGTCGAAAAAACGGGGATAGGTACAGTCCTTTCTCACGTTGAGTAGGTAACGATTGCGGACAATGAAATATTTATATTTGTCACTAAAATTGTCATGCTAGGATGATTACGTACATCTTTCTAGTGTTTCTTTATTCACGTTTTCCTTTATGCTACTCTTTCTCTTTTCACGTTTTCCCCACATGATTTCCTACACTATTCTTTTCAGCAAAAATTTTAAAAAAAAAACCCTTAGACTAATTATTTTGAAGAAATTACAAGTATAAAAAAAATTATAATTATAATTAAGTCTTATATTCATATATAATAAATCATTAAATAATAATTAATAAATTAAAACATAATTAAACAATCAAATTCATAAATTATAAAATTTAAAGAATTACATTACTTAAGTTTTAGAGAAAAGAAAAATACATTAATTATTATCCAACTACTCCGAGTCTTAATTTAAGTAATTAGTCTATCGAAAAGTGATAATTAAAGTTATGTTCTACTGATATTTTATTTTTATTTTATTCATTCTTTATTGATAATTTATTTTTATTTTTTATTTTTATATTCAATTATAAAATAAAAAACAAAAGTATCAATAAAACGAAATCTATATCATCACATTGAATTTTTTTTTTAAACTGTAATTAAATATTAGCAGAAATTGTCTTTTGAGCATCATTTTATTAATTACCCAATTAAGTGTTTTAATTTGGTATTATATACATTGTATGGCCAAATAATGAGTACTTTAACATGTATAAAAAGGCCAAAACCTAATATTTCCAAAGGGAGCAGCCATATTTTGATTTACATCCTCCATCCAATTTATCACAGATACGAAATCTCTCTCTTTCTCTTTTGTTGAGTTCAATAACTTTTCGATTTAAAGGTAATTTATGCATTTTTATGTTAAATGTGCCCATTTGATCTATTCTAAATAAGTTTATTCAATATTTTAATAGTTAATTGATACAGATTATATACATTTTTATTAGATCATTTTATTTTAAATCTCGAAAGTATTTAATTAAGATTCAGAGATTTATTAGGTTTTAGAATAATCAACCGATTCAATTAACTTTTTCTTTTAAATTTGTATGCTATCAAGTATCAATTAGAGAATTGTTTTATTTTTCTATGAAGATTTAGCAGGAGTAAGTTCTACGAAGAATTAGATGTTTTGGTGATGTATCGTATTGGTTTGTTCAATAAAAATTTAATTTCTTGGGGCGAAAAGGAAAAAAAGAACTGTTTTATTGTGTTTCGTTTTTAATTAGTATTGAAAAGACTGAAATAAATGCCCCTCTTGTTTGATTGATGGTTCAATTCAAGAGAAATGGACAAGGTTGTAGATTGCCTAGACAATGCCTATCAAGAATTTGTTGCCGCCGCAGCTAACTTGCTTGAAACCAAGGCAGCTGCCAATGGTGAGAGGACGGCAGCCACGGATGCCGCCTTGGAAAACTTCAAGAAGAAATGGGAAGCGTTAAAAGCGGCTTGTGACCAAGCGGACGAGTTGGTTGATTCTGTCAAGCAACGTATCACAGCCAACACCACATATCCCGTTAATCAGGACATGATTGACATCTTCGACCATGCCATAGTTGATTATGATGATTAATCAAAGAAGGTGTTCCATTTTTATTTTCTCGTCATGCTGTCAACAGTATCTGTTTGGTTTCGTTTTTGTATCTTCGCTTTTAAAGACTAAAATAAAAAAGCTCAAACTTTGAATAAATTTAATGGGTGTGAGTGTTAATTTTTACAGTTTTTTTTTTCTTTCTTTTCTTTTTTGAGAATTTGATTTTTATGTTCAATTAGAGTATATAAAGCTCAAGCTCCCAATACTTAATCCAGTTAATTTATACGTTGACATTCTGATTTAATATTCAAATTTTAATACTCGTAAAATTTTTTATTGTATTCTTTTGTAAAAAAATTAAAAAAAAAAGTTTTACTTCATTTACTGGCCCAAAGAGGAAAAAGAAACTAGATTTCTAGATTATTTTGGTCCAAGATAAGCTAAACAAAAACCTAATGACCAAACCCAGACATTGCGAAGCAAAGGCCCATTTTTATTTCCCACATAACGGCGTCTTGTCATCCGCATTCGGCGGCTGTAGTAAAGTCCACCTTTTGTCTCCCCTGTCAAGCTGAAATAGGTTTCTCAATCAACGACAATCGGATTCCCAGGTAACATCTACCATCCGATTAATTGCGCCTTATGCTATTAAATTTGTTTGGTTCTGTTTTAGGATAGTTTGATTTGGTCTGTTCGTATAATTGACAGTCAAAAAAATTGGGAGTAATGGACAACATGGTAGATTCTTTAAACAATGCCTACCAAGAATTTGTTGCTGCCGCAGCTAATGTTCTCGAAACGAAGGAATCTTCGGGCGCTCAAAAGACACCAGCCACCGATGCTGCCTTGGAAAACTTTAAGCAGAAATGGGAATTGTTCAGAGTGGCTTGTGATCAAGCTGAGGAGTTTGTTGAGTCCATCAAACAAAGGATAGGATCCGAGTGCCTTGTCGATGAAGCCACCGGGTCTATGGCTGGGAAGTCGGGGCAGTCAACTGGCCTTCCTCCCATTAGTGCTGTTCGTTTAGAGCAGATGAGTAAAGCTGTCCGGTGGCTTGTGATTGAGTTGCAGAATGGTTCCGGAAATGCGGGTGGTGCAGCTCATGCCCACCCTTCTGCTCCTTTCGATGCTAGATTCTCAGAGGATGCTGCTCAGTAGGTATAGGTTGTTGTTTGATACACAGGAACTCCACAAGTGGCTTTGAATGTCTGTCCCATGTTAATTTTATAACTCAATGTTCATTTCCTTATTTACGGTTGAATAGACATATGGTAAGCATTTAAAGTCACTTGCGGAGTGATAATAATCCATAGATATATGTGTTAAATCTGTGACTATGTTGTTTTCAGTTGGTTGTTGTAGAATTCTAACGACATGGCATCTTCTGTTTTACTGCTACAAGTCTAAGAAATGATGTAAATTATAGTGGGAGGATATTGCTTTGTGGGAAGCATCCCATCTCAAAGCTACCTACTTTTGATCCATACAAGTTGGATAAAGTCATTTATTTTTGTTTTAGTATCATTAGAAATTTATAGTCCTACTACCTGATTACAGTCATGGGTGAAGTGAATTGAGATCCTTTACTTTTTTTACCATGTGGCTGCTCTCCAGATTTTGAATCCACAGCATTCCATTTGTCAGCCCCAGAATTTTATTCGCACCAGAGAATGAACCTTATATTTGCATTGTTGTGTAAATCAGTTCTTTGCTCCTAGTATAATGTTGCCTTCCTATCAATGACACTGTTACGCATTGATTGAGTGTAAAAAAGCAAGGTCATATGTTATAAGAAAACGGAGTGTCTTGTTCGTTGAATATATGGGCATCTTGATGATTCATGGTTTAGAACTTTAGATAGTGTACTGACTTCCATTGTTGATGTTCACTTTATATAATATTACCTCATTGGTGTGTTATAGTAGATGTTAACTTTTAACATGCTCAATAGTTAAAAAATGTTCTAGATTATCTTGGCAAATTTTTCATTGCCAAATATGTTGTTTAATAGCTTATTTTGTTTAAATCTTGATTTTCCTGTAGTTAGTATCTAACAGTTTTCTTTGTGTAAATTAATTCTGATAATAATTACTGTTCATATTGTCCTGTTAAAATTTTCAACCATTTTGAAGGCCAACCAAGAAGCTTCCCTTGGTTTGAGGACATAGCACATATTTCATATTTTCATACATTGGCACAAGCACAAGATGTTTGACACATTCACTCCACAAATCCTGTGCATTGAAACATTACTATATCTGCATTTTTTTTTTACAATTTAGGATATTAAAAATATATACTTAATTCATTGAGTCTTCCCTTGTTTAAGAATCATAGATAACGGAAATATTATGTAGACAATATGTATGACTGTATGTGCAAATTTCTTGACCAAAATGCTTTATAATTCTCATGAATGAAAATTCTTTAGGTTAACTAATCCTAAGTGTCTGCTAAATTGCCACTTTTAAAATAAAAATGAATTCTTCTGTGAAACCCGGGATTTCTCTACTTGTATTTACATTCAAGATGGAGTATTTTGAAAGTTTTCTGCAAGTTTAGTAACAAATAGACATACTAGTTGATCCATAACTTAGGACATGATGTCGACTGGCAACCAAAAAAAAAAAAGGCCCTACTATGTTGGAGACCTTGAGTTTTTGGCTGATATTAAGTTCCTCTACAAAGAAGCTACACTGCATAGCTTAGTGATTTTCTCACAGATGCATATATTGCAGCCAGTATCAGTAAGTTTAGATACACACAGAGCCTAGTCATTTCGTGTGAATGCTAGTGTGTTATGTTTTATATCACTAAAAATTCTTCATTTAGCAGTCTTAAATTTATTGGTTTCATATATCTTAAACCCCAAAGTTATAGGAAGAAGGATTATGTCTTTTGTTATTCAGAGAAGTAGAGATGAGAAAACTGAAGCAGAAAGATGAAAAAGAAAAGTGTAAACATGTGGTGAAATTTTGAGAATACAAACAAGTTGCAGGTGACAATTTTTTGTTGCTTTTCAGGAGGTTGGTGATGTTGCAATAGTATATAGCTTGAAATGTTGGTCGAATGCCAGATTCATAGCCTTTTAGACGCCTTGTTCTTCTTCTCCTTAATGTTTTATGAAAGCTTGTGTTTAAACTTCTGGCAAGCTAAGTGGGAGGGGTTCGTGCCTTTGAATTCTCATGGTCATTAGAGCCCCTACTCGCATTTGGATTTAGTTGTTAGGCACGTATCAAGGTTTATATCTAGAGAGAACCATAGCTTACTTATGTTCACATTTACCATCCTATGTATAGGCCAGCTGCTGCATCCTATCGCAGCAAGAAGCCCCAACTACGGCTGCCTGCATTGTTCATAGGTGCTGCAGGATGGTCCCCGATAGGGAAGGAATATTATCATGAAGCTAAAAGAAATCAAAACTTGGTCCAACTTTACCATAATTTAATGTCAAACCCACCGATTGAGTAAAGATTATTCATGCAGATATTATTATTTACAATGCACAGACACAACAAAAAGTGAGGAATCCAAGGATCTCACACGTCGAAAACAGGTATGCATGCAGAGTTTGCTAAATGAATGATCTGCTTCGCTTTGCCATTCTTCTACCCACAATAGGATGCGACTCTTTGCAGCACCTAACAATATTATACGGTGAACCCATACGTCACCTCATCTAATAAAACATCATCATCTTTCACTTCTTGATCTAGTAACAAAAAAACCTTAAAGGAAGACATTAAAATTTAAGTTCGAATCAAGCTATCATCTTCCCCTTTTCATGTTATAAGGCATTGCTCTCTTTTGAAACAAAACAAAAAAATCATCAATTTCACCCAGCAAAGCCCGGCAAGGATAATAGTACTTGTAGATTCCCACCTCTAAACCAAATTTAAATGCTGTGATAGCTTACATCCGTGTGGTTTGACTGAAAATAAATGGCAGATTACACAGAATATGTTACAAATGTCCTGAGCATTTAGAGTTTAAAATAAATACTTTTTTAATCCCTAAATTATATCACTTCTCATCATTCATATTTATAAAAAAATTACACGATTAAGTATTAAAATTTTATTTTCATCAAATATTTTATACAATGCCCTAAATTTGGTAAATTGATATGGTAAAAAAAATCACCAAATAATATTATGACACGTCATCTATTTTTATTGATTAATATTTGAAGTATCAATAATTTGAATAACGCGTTAATTAATGATGTTAAATAAATTTTTTAATAAATACCTAGAAGTAGTATTATTAAAGGTAAAATTACATTTTTTTTTTCATTTTTTGCAAGTAAGCTTCATTATATATAGTTGGGGAACAACTAAAAAATAGCAAAACCCAAACGAACGTAGCCTTTTTCATTCTTCAGTTCTCTCTGCCACTTTTGTCTTCTCTGAATTACGTGTTTCAACTTCTTCCTTTTCCTTCTCTTTAAGTAGGCTTTTCTCTGTTAATTCTGTTTCTGCATGATCGGTCTTTCCCTGTCTCTCTTGAAAGCTTTGTCTTTTTCTCTTTTTCTTTCTTTGGAATTTCTCCAATCCCTTTCGCTCCAAGCTTCGATTCCAGTCAAAGAGAGCTATCCTTCAGCTGCTTACGTTTAAATGTTAGAGGCGTGATTCCACTTTCTTCACCTTTTTTCTTAAGCGATTCCCGTCATAATGTGCTTTTACTCTGATTACTGACGGGGTTTCTTTCTTTTTGTTTTCGAAGATCAATGGATTTCAACCAGGAAACATGGACGTTGCATCGCTGGTTTGCTCAAGTATGTGATGTTGGTTTCTTTTCTCTTGTTACTAGCATTACTTTTTATGGCCTTTTTCACTTTAATTTTCAGTGAATAATTTATATAAACGCTTTGAATTATAACCCGTTATCAGTTGTTTAATGTTTTTGTTGGATAGGTTTTAACAATTATATTCCTTTTAAGTGGAATTTAATGTTTATCAAGGACTTAAAAGAGTACTGGAGATGAATTTTCTGTCAAATTATCATGGTTGATGTGCTGAGTGAATTTTATGTTATTTATTTTCCTTGAATTGAGTTTGGGTTTAAGGTTTTGCGCAGGTTGGAAATCTTCTGCTTTGATTATTGTGGAGTCTCGTGCATGTTATTATCAACTTATGCTACTTTACACTGGGCTTAGCTAACGTGCTTCAAAGCTATCTTATCTCTTGGGGACTACTGAGGAGATACAAATCCCTCTATGTAGCTAAGCTCCGCTATCTGACTATTGTGGTAGAAAGTGAAGAAGCTTACGAAACTTCGAAAATTATTGAGCTTTTGCAGTGGCTTGAAGTCGTTGGTAGTAAACATGTTTGCCTTATGATAAGGAAGGTGGGAATTCTGGATTCTCACTGTTGCTAGATTAATCAGGTGAAGATGTATCTGATGTTTTTGTATTCAATGTAATGTTTTTTTTTACCATTTTGTTGTTCTAGGAATACTGAAGAAATCAAAGGACTTCATCTTGGAAAAGTTGGATGGTGCAATATTGTTTCGAGTACCATCCTCTCTGCTCATGGTAAAATTTAGTCTTTTTCAAAGTTCGGCATGACTCATTAACTTCATTTACTCAATATAAATTGGCTAAATGGCTAGCTAGTTGCCAAAAACAAACTGTCATGTTGATCTTTGATACATGAAGATTCGTTATGATACCATGCAACCAAAAAATTGTAGTTACATTACTAAGGTGGCACAATCTTGAACCTCCTATAAAAAGCCTGATACATATTTGTAACATTTATATTGGTCTCATTCTTGACTGCTTTTGTACTCTTTGGATTCTTAGGTTTCTTTCTGAAAAACTTACCTTTGGGTTGCTATTCCATGTACCATATGTTTGCTTAGCTCCAACTCTGTGTAATGTTATTGGATTATTTTTTGACATAATTGATACAAATGGAATGTTACCAAAGGTGCTAAACTACGAGCAAACCTTCAATCTATGTTATGCAGGACACTCGTGAAAATAATGTGCTACTAGACCAACCACATATGACTCTGGAGTTTGCATCATTTTCTGATGGGAAAGAAACAGTGGCCAAAGCAGCCAATATACTTTTTATGAAGTACTTAAACTTAGGTGCTATTGACCAAAATCAGGCAGAGCAAATCTTCACTGAATCTCAAATGGGCGAGGCACTCAAAACTGTTGGTTTGTGTTACTTGTCTGATCTACTTGGTGGTTGTTACAACCAGTTTTCTTTACTAAGTTAATTTGACTTTTGGAAGTTGATCTTCTTTTCTTTTAGGCAGCAGAGGGCCAGAACCTGATCTTTTATTAGTATATGGATCTGCCAGGTGCCACTTAGGTTTCCCTGCCTGGAGAATTCGATAGACTGAGATTCTGTGAGTATTCTCTTGACATAAATTCTTTGGGATCAGGGAAAATACCTTGTTGTTTTGTTATCCATTAAAGATGCTTATTATGGGATTCTGTCTGATGAAAGACTTGCAACTTTCTAAATGGTCTCTTCTTCAAAATATCATTTTTTTATAAA